GGCATGGGCCTGAGGAAGTGAGGACACATGGCTCTGCCCAGTGAACAGATGAACCGTGGGACACCAGCCAAGTTTAAATTGAACAGCCAAGGTATGTGGACTGGTAAGACACAGCACTTACGCTCCAGCCCTTTAGCCCCTCATTTATGCATGACTTCTGTCACAGACAGATTTTCTGTGCTCTTGCTCTCACCAGACGGAGCTCATGCCTATCATGAAATCAAACCAACATCAGACCAAACTCTGCCCAACCAAAGAAAATGAAATGACCTTCTAGCCTATCATGGACCTCCTCCCACCTACTTCCTTCTTCTAGAGAATATGTGTTTCCCAAGAGATTCAGGTTCATTATAATGACTGTTGTTTATTATGTGTAAATGATGTAACTGTATATTTACCAGTTGTATTTCCTTCAATATATTATTATCTCCCATTCCCTTTAGCTATGTGCTTGGAGAGGCATTTCTTGGCCTTTCCAGACAGGAAGAAATAAAAGATTTTACACCTTTTTTTTTTTTTTTTTTGGTGTTCCAATGAATAGACAAGCCCTTTCTCTAGGACCAGGTAAAATGCAGAATGCAGAGGTTGACAGAATCACTGGCTGGTTGTCAATCTGCAGCAAGGATGCTATCTAGAGAATGATCTGCTCATTACCAACAAGGCACCAAAGATCAGGGTGAACATGTCATGCAAGTGAACATGTCATGCAGCAGAAACTCTTAGAACAAAATAAGACACTTATAATCATCATAAGTTACATTCCCGGAACTGACCAAAGACAAAGAAGTTATACAACAACTGTGTAGCCAGCAGGCATCAGAGAGTGATGCAAATAACCTCTTCAGTGGCTAATGTAACTCAAAACCTCAACTTTGAGCTGTGAAAAAGAGGCAGAGGTTTTGTCATGCTGTCACTAGACATGATGGAACCACTTCCCTCTAATAGTAGAGAAGGTGCAGCCATTCATCATGATGTATGAATCAGTTGGGAAACTGCCATTGAGACTGTATTAGGTTTGCTTACAAGGCACCAAAAAGGTCCGTTTCTTCCATTATATGTTTATATCACAGATTTGGGGGGAGGAAGGGGCAGGAAGGAAAGGTGTGTGTGTGTATGTCTGTGGACTGAAAGAGCTATACTGACCTTGACCTGATGGAACAACTAATTCCCAGGGAAAGGGTTAGATTGTACTCATCCCATGAACCTAGTGACATCCAGAAACTAGCCTGCCTGGTCCACAGTAGCTGAGGTATCTTTTTTTTTTTTTTTTTTTCTTTTTCTTTTTCTTTCTTTCTTTCAATATTGACTTGGGCTCTTAGCAAGAACAAACAAGCAAAAGGTCTGGCATATGTTGCCTAGAAAGGCTGTGTGATTTCCAGCCCTTTAATAATTTGAGACTGCTGGACATGATCCTGAGTAAACAGATCCAGCTAGACATGCTTTGAGCAGGGGGTTGGACTAGAAATTTCTAGAGGTAACTTCCTCCCCTCATTGTGCTATGATTCTGTGACCTGAGAAAAAGTATAAGCAACCTTTGTATAGAGAATCATTTGTGGCAATCTTTGATACCAGAGGTACATTGGTCTCCACAAATGAGGTGATGTCAACCTCCCAAGCAAATTATTTTTTGTTGTTGTGTATAGCTCCATAGTAGCAGGAACAAGCAATGTGCTCTTGGATAGCAAGAAACTGTATGAAGGACCACTTGTACAGGTAGCTCTGAAGGACCACAGGGCAAATGAAGTGTGGAGTTGAGTGCAAGTAGGTACACAATCCAGTTTGTTTGTAGTTTATTTTGTTTTGTATGTGGCTAGTAGTACTTGAAAAAGTGTAAAGGAAAATAGTCTCCTTCAGAATTTCCACTAGCATACCCACATCCATGTATTCATTTACAACTCTGCAAAATTAATGTAAAACCCTCCTTGTTTCTGATGTCACACAGCTGCATTTATGGCTGCTGAGCTTCAGAAGTTTGGTGGCAAAACCTGTAGAATCATAGAATGGCTTGGGTTAGAAGGGACCTTAAAGATCATCTAACTCCAACACCTCTGCCATAGGCAGGGATGCCACCCACTACATCAGGTTGGCATCTTTCTTGTGCTGGGGGCCCCAGACCTGGATGCAGGACTCCAGGTGGGGCCTCATGAAGGCAGAGTAGAGAGAGAGAGTCACCTCCCTCAACCTGCTGGTCACACCTCTTGATGCAGCCCAAGATGCATTTGGCTTTCTGGGTTGCAAGCTCACACTTCTGGCTCGTGTTGAACATTTCATACACCAAAACCCCAAGTCTCTCTGCAGAGCTGCTCTCAACAGTTCTTCTCCCAGCCTGTCCTGTCTGGGATTGTCCCAACCCAGGTGCAGCACCTTGCACTTGGACTTGTGAAATCTCATGCAGTCCACATGGACCCACTTCTCGGGGCTGTCTATGTCACTTTGGATGGCATCTCTTCCTTCTGTTGTATCAACTGCAACACTCAACTTGGTGTCATCTGCAAACTTGCTGAGGGTACACTCAATCCCATTGTCTATTTCACTGACGACGATATTGAAAAGCACCAGTCCCAAGACAGACCCCTGAGGGACGCTGCTCATCGCTGGCCTCCACCAGGACATAGAACCATTGACCACTACTCTCTGGGTCTGGCCATCGAGACAATTCCTTATCCACTAGATGACCCACCCTTCAAAACCATATCTTTCTAATTTAGAGATTAGGATGTCATGTGGGACATTGACAAAAGCTTTAGATAGAATAGGATGTTGATTCCCAGGATCTGCAGGCTAGTCTGCCTGGGTTGCAGGACCATGGTCCAGCATGCTACTACCAATTCTAGCAACAGAGCAGGCCTCCTTTAATGTCCTGCCAGCAGGGAACAGCAGTCAAATGGAGCTGAACATGAAGCAATGCTGCAAAAAGCAATGTTAACCTTGTCCAGAGGTGGTTCTTCCCTGGGGACAAGGGGGCTTGTCACCACCTCAACTTTTCTGCAGCTCCCTTTGGCCTTTCTGAGTCACTGGCTGACTGAGGGTGAGTGGCAGCTGAGAGTGAGTGGCAGCACATGTGCCAGCAGCAAGCCTGGCACAGCAACCCTATGGGGAAGTCCTCTGCACTTGCACCATGGCCCTCTGCAGCAGGGGAAATCCCCACCAACTGAAGGCTAGCAGGGCCATTTCTGGCTTCAGTGAGATTCACCTTGTTGGCTTGTTTTCTTCTGTTACTGGATGTTTTTGCATCTTTTTGTATGCTTTATAATCGTGGGGAAGAGTGGGCTCTCAGTTATTTCCAAATAAGAGTCTTACAGACCTTATAGTCCTCCTTAATCACAGAGGAAAGTTAAAAAATGAACAGGGATTTGACAGCTGTGAGCAAGTGACAGAGAGGAACAAACCCCTGCTTGCTTCTCATCCCTGTCTCTAGTACATTTTAAAGATTCCTCAAAAGCATTTCAGTTCTCCATCAGACTAAAAGATCCTAGAATACTTACGGCTTTAAAAAGAAACGTATATTATATATATATTATTATTAAGGTTAGCCAGCATAAAAGACAGCAAGAGGACTGTTTATGCTTAGATAGGTTCATCCAAGATCGCTATGATTAACATGACCACTGAGAGATGAAAGAAGGTTGGGTATGCTTCTTATAGGAAATACGCATTTTTTTCCTTTGTGGTATGATATTTCCTCATTCTTTTTCTCGGAATAGCTTGAGAGAACGGAAGTTTCTCAGCTTGCGATCTAATCTTCTCTGCCTTCACAGGAAGTTACAAATATGTTGAACAAGCTCTCAGTTGACACATTTTTTCTCAACGAGAAACCCTTTGGACAGTCTTGCTGATTACAGGCAGAAGTGGTTCAACCACAGCTCATGTTCATAGTTACCGACTAGACTAGTTAACCTTAGATGTTAGTTAACCTCTTGCCATCAGCCTAAATTTATGTAGGGTTTGATTCTTGTAAAATAATAAGAGTAGTTGGGTATTTTGCTCTGTTGATGAGTTGCTTGTCTTGCTGTAACTAATTAAGCAGACCTATTTTCATTTGCAAACTAATGCAAATAAACATTCCTCAGAGTATATCATGGCATATCTCTGGTCTCTCAGGTTGTTAGTCCTTGACCCAGCTAGTTTAGCTGTTTCTTGACAGTCATAATCCCTGTCATAATCCATAATGCTCTTGACAGAGGTAGTCAAGCAGACTTCAGTCTTCTCTAGGATGAGGAGATGGTAGAAGCCAATCCAACAACATTTTTCAGAAAAAGTTATCAAAATCATATTAAGTACCACCTGTGATGACACACTAATGGTTAGAAAGGCATTAAGAAAAAAATGAATATACATGTAGCTATTTGATACAAGCTGACATGTACTTTATACCTTCATAGGCTTGTGCATCCCCAAGCACACCTGGAAATATGAGGTCATTGCTGCTAAATGATGACTATCGTTGCCAGCCAAAGCATAAAAGGTAAGTTAAAACCAGAAACAAGTCAAGCATCTCCCATGCTTCTTTACTTTACTAAACCAAGTTTATTTACTCCAAGTCTTTTGTAGTGTAATATATGCAGTTTTCTAAAATTGCTGTTTTGATAATCTTCAAAGCAGATCTGTGCATTAGGAACTATAACTACAAGAAACATTTCCATTAGGGAAGAAGAAAAAAAAAGGGGGGGGGGGGGGGAGGAACACGGGGAGAGAGAAGAGTTTTCCATTTGTTTACAACTTCTTCAGAAATATTATTTTGAGGGTGGAAATTTCCATGTTTCATCTCTTCTGGAAATGATTTAAGTTGTCATCAATCTGTGGAAACTAACATGAATGCAAAATGCCTTAAATTATGAAAAATGTGTGACTAATTGGTGAGCATGAAGTTTCTGTATTGATTTGATACCCAGATGAGTATGCATGATAAAAATACTAAGTTGATTTGCCATTTACTGTGTTAGTGTTAGAATGAAGACATCTTTGCAATGTAATGACAGCATTAAAAATCAAGTAGTTTATAAAGGGCTCAAACATATGATTTTTTATATTTATTTATTTTTGAAGAAAGTACTCTAAAAGAAGACAGGCAGATATAATGTGTATTCCAGTGCAAAATATACTGGGAAATGACAGTTAAAACTCATATAAAAGACAATAGTTCACAATAAGCATATTAGCTTCTGAGTTCTGTACGCAAACAAATACTCAATTAACAAACTTTACACCACACACAAAAGGCAAGAGCTTCACAAAGGACATTCATAAAAGCATAGTATTGATACAGATTATTTTTTGTTTGTTTGTTTCAAGATTTCATTCTCTTTATACTGCTTGTAAAGAATGAGAACAGTTGTGAAATAACAATATACAAATTGCCAGTGTGTAAGAATTCAGATGGCTATGCTCTCTAAAAGATGATGAACACAAAAATCTTGATTCAGACTCATACTACAGTTCTTCTGTACGTCCAGGATAAAATGTAATAAATAGTCTATTCTAGAGACCATTTTGGAGAAGAATGGCCTGAAATAGTTTTAATATTAATGAGAATTAGGTTGGTACTTTTTGAAGTAGAATGTGAATGTATCATTTTTTTTATTATGTTATGTCAATGCAAACATTTTCTGTACAAATCTCAGCAAAACAATCTGAAAAAAAGTGTGATTAATCCATATCTTTTAAAAATAAATATATACAATATTTACATTTGGGACAGTTCCAGAAATTAACATCCAGGTTATATATCACTACATGAAACAATTATCTATTATTATAAAAAATGCATTTGCTGTACAAATATATATATAAATATATATGTATAAACTTTTTCAGTGAAACGTCTGTGGATTCATTAAAAAGAAAAGCATGAGATATTATCAGCTGCTAAGATTTAGCTCTCAGGTGTCCACACGTAGCAGTCTAGAGCATCATACATCAGACAGAAGTAGATTTTCAGTGTTGAGAGTATTTTGTGTTCTGCTTCTCTGCCACCATACCAGCAAATCAACTTCACTTATCTGTTTGCTTTTTCTGAGCATCTGCAGAAATACAGCTTAACAGAATCAGTTTGACTCAGTGATTGTTATTGACTGCACCATGTCAGACAGCATTTCTGTGTCTACTTCTTCTTTACCATTATCTGAATTTTCTGACGAGATGTAACAGCCGGAATCTCTTGGGCAGTCATTTAACTGTGATTTGTCAAAACTGGGCTGAGGGCTTAAGCTCCGTGTCTCCTGACCAGCCTCACTTGTCTGCTGTTGTTCAACTACAAAGAACAAAATAAGAAAAAAATGTCAAAGTAAGTACCCCGTGAAAGAGTTTGAGACAGAAATGTGGCTGATCTTGAGAAATTGTAGAAAAAGAGTTGGTAATATAAACATGGCTTGATCAATATCTTCTGTCTATCAGAATCAGAAACTTCAGCATCAAAGTACTAAAAATATGATGACATGAGCATCTAAGTTGCTGTTGAGGTTGGCGTTGATCCCGTACTATGTTGCTCAGAGATGAATGCTTGAGACTTTGGCCTCATCCTTCAGACTGTACACAAGTGCACCAGTCACCATGCATGGTCACCATGCCCACAATAAAGTAGCCTTTCCCCTCCCACACACATGCATTTCCTTGTTTCTAATACATGAATGACAGGTGCTGTGTCTTTTGAATGTAATTCCCACCGTTTCTCCTACTCTCTGTATTGCATGGCAAGATATAATTGGCTGGTCTTTAGAAGTGCTCAGCCTGAAGATATGGCAATCAGATTTCCTAAAGCACTTGATTTTTCAGTGGGAGTAGCTGGCTGATGGAAACTTCCTAAACTTAGCTTGGTAGCCAAAAGGGTGTTTTCCAAAACACAAAGGCCTCAGAGAAGGCTTAGATGCTTAGTTCTTGCTATATGCTTTTTGAACACCGTTTCAAAACTAAGTAGAAGTAGAAAATCTTGCAAATAATGTGTCCTTGTTTAGCTTGCTGCATGACTAATCTATTCAAACTCAAAAATCTGCAGCTCAGGAAGAGTATTGGCAGACCTCTCAACTGAGCTCAACAAGCTGGTGTGTTGCAGACAGGATATACCTGTATATCATGAATCTAATGTATCTTGTGGTTAAAGTTCATGTACATATTTTCTGGCTGTAAAATACATGATGTTTACTCATGGTAAATTTCTTCAGAAAACAAGGTTTAAGATTTAAAATCTTTCTGCCATTCTCTTTCTTTTCCTATTGCTGTCCAACAACTGTGTTTTTACTTCAAACTGTGGTTTACTTTCAAAAGCATGAGGAACAGATCTTAAAGGAATAAATGGTTTTACCTCAGATTTTAATCCTCTGAAAAATGGTACCTTTTGCTTTCGTAAAGAAAGTTCCCTTATTTCACCTGACTTGTTGCTCCATGGTTAAATAGTTTGCTTTGACTGTTTGGTCAGATTTAAGTTGTCTCAGTACAAATACAGGCAGTATGGAAGTCCTAGTTCATGAAGGATTTCATCCTTCCTGGAAGTCTAAATCTAGTTTAGTTCCAGGGTAGCAGCATGTGATTATAAAATTCCCAAAAGGAAAATTTCTACAGACACTTGTTTCAGCTATTAGACCTTACAAACTTTTGCAACATGAGAAAGATTTTCACTTTTTGTCTTTGTTTGTTTGGTTCGTTTTGCATGACAGAGGGAACCTTTCAGAGGATTTAATTGATATCTGTAACTGTTTGATCTCCTCTCACCTTACAGAACATAGTTTGCTATGTCAAATGTTATATCTGTAGGGAAAATACTTGATCGCGTAGGGTCCAATTGATTTCTGATTTAAGTCAGTAAGGAATTACAAAAGGAATTACACCAGAGAAGGTATTACTGCTGCTATTAGTAGCAACAGAAGTAGTTTAGCCCAAACAGCAGCAGATGCCCCAGTAAAGCCCTGTCTAAACTGTGTCATTAGCTCCTCACACCCATCCCACTGGTGCCAAAAGGACCCGGGTGACCCTTGGTTGCTGTGGGCTGACAGAACTCAGCTGGTGGATGCATGCAGACCTCCTTGGTGGCTGCAGACAGGGCTCTCCTTCCCTCTGCTGTAATCCCTGACGAGCCCTAATGCCACTCGCTGGGACTCTCATCAGCTTCTGGGGCATCATCTGCTGCCCAGGCAAGCAGTGACCTGAAAAGTGTTAATCCTGTTTACATTTTCAAGGTCAAAGAGGAATTTCTATCCACTTTGCTTGTTTTACAGTGGGAAAGAAGACCGAGTAACTAGTGGATTAAAAAAAAAAGAAAAAAGCAACTGCTTCAGTTAATGTTACAGTAGTGCTCTGTTAATGGTTGTGGTAGCTTAAGCAAGTTCCTATGTGAAAAACATATCTTACACTATTTTGTAGCAGTGTCTTTCCCTTGTGTGTTCCAGGGACAGAGACACAAGCAAGCAGGAAACTGAGTTTTTTTGTTGTTGTTGTTGTTATTTTTTTTTTTTTTTTAATTTGAATTTAGATCAGTTTTAGAAGAATAACAAATTTACATTTAGGAAACAGAAATGTAAAACTTCTGTCTCCTCACTAGAAGATTTTTTTTTTTTGTTACATTGAAAACTGAAAAACAATAAAGCTCAGGTGTTTGGGAAAGTGAAAATATATTTTCTATTTTTTGTTCAAAACAGAAAAAAATAAATAAAAATCATATTTAAGAAGAAAATACTGAAATCAATCTAGTTGTTTTTCTTTTTTTTTTTTTTGAGCAACTTAAATATTATGCAGTATCTACTAAACCACTTAAACAGGATATTGAGTATTATAAATAAGCATAGCATACAGCTTTAGATGTTCTAAAAAAATAAACAACTACTTTTTTTTGGGGGGGGGGGAGGGGGACTTTTTAAAATTTCTTTTAGCTTTTGGTTTTCACATCCAGTTCGACTTCCTTCCTTCTTCTAACAAATACATATTCAATTTCCCCCTTAGTAAAGGTAAGTTTACCGTCTTAATCTTTTGGACATCAGAAGAAAGATACAATACACGGGAAACATGAATTGATAAAAATTAAACTGCCATTAAATGTTGCAGAATCATCAGAAACCACTATCTTATCAACAAATGGAAGTTCTATTATTTTTCTACAACGAAGCAGTTTCATATAAGATATATAGCTTTTAGTCACTGTTGTCTATGATATGGCCAGAAGGGTCCAAAATAAGGATCATTTTGACACATATTCTAATCCTACTTTAGACTGCAGTGTTATATGCAGATGACTGAAAAAAATGTTAGGCTTTTAGACTCGATAATGGATGTGTGATGATGCATATGTATCTTCCTCATGATTTAGACCTTGGAATTGAACGTTTTTTTGTTCAATGACATAAATGCGCATAACACATGCAGAGATAGATTTTTTTTTTCTTTCACCAGATTTTCCCCTCTTTTTAATCAGTTTAAAGTCCTGATTAGGAAAGCACTTTAAGCTTAGGTTTAAGGCAATTGCATACAAGACTGTATTGAGGTCACACTGACTCCAGTGCCATTATGTCCAAATGAGTGGTTGAAGCTTAGATTTTGTTTTAGGAAAGAAAAAAAAAAAAAAGTTCAACCCAGCAGCAAGCTGTACTTCATGAGCATGCCCTCAAGTCTGCCTTCATGAGATTTGCCCAGAAGGTGAAATGGGACTCAGCTTTAGGCTGAGTCACTTGTGTGCTTTCCTGGAAGATGACACAGTACAGCACAGCTGAACAAGTAACCAGAATGACGTGCATCTTCAAAACTGTTGTTAGACCTCCTAGCCAGGTGTGAAGGAGGTCAACCTATCAACCTGGAGTGCCTGTACCCGTTAGACCACTGTTAAGATGAAACAAAAACTCATAGCACACCAAACTCAGAAAGGATCATTGTAAAGCAGCAAACAGGGATACTTCTTGAAAAAGAAAGACCCAAAGGGGGTCTATATATCTGCAATACTTCAGAGAATCAAAGGAGTAAATATTTAGTGGATATTTACAGACACATAAGGTGAAAAATAGCACTTGATGAGTCAATGACATAGCTTCTGCTTTCAATAGTAGACATTGCATTGACATCAATTGGGCCTTCTCTTCCCACTGGCAAAGATTCTCCAGCACTCAGAGTAAAATACAAGTGGGAGAGATACTGAACAAGTATGAGAGAAGACTTTATGCTGAAAACAGAAGTAAGCTTATTTTTCTCTAAAACCAGGAAGCAAACAGAGGTGTCTGGAAAAAGTGAAAAGTACTAATATGCATGCAAGGGAGAGCTTCCCAGAATATGGAAATATTACATACAGGTCAAAGGGTTGCAGCTACCACAGTGAAGGAAGGGAGATCATCTTTCAGCACTATTTGACCTTTACATGATATTGTGTAATTCCACAGATTTAAAGAGACAGCCTTTAGTAAGGCTGTAAATTAGTTTAGTATGCCTTTAGTAAGTTCTTCAGTAAGTAGAACTCTTGACGCCAGGTCTTCATTTAAGGAATACAACTGAGAACTGAAAGTTGTATCATCAGCTACTTTGCTGTCCAAATAAAATAAATAAGAAACAAACCTTATGTGATACTGACAGTGGGACTTAGAGTATGATCTGGCACTTTGATACAAAGAACATGCTAAGGAAGTGGATTTGGGGAGATAAGGGTAAGATAATTATCCCCAAGATTGCACATATTTTTCCCCCCCCCCCCCTTTTTTTTCCCTATACATGAACATTATGCACATATTCAAAGAAGTCTAATTCTTCTTTCGCTCTAAATAGTTTCAGACTAATACAACCTACTGGACTTCAGGAATGAACCTCTTGACTTCCATCATCTAAGTGAGAACAGAATCAAGCCTATTTCACACATCCAGAAATGTGTGTCCTGGGAAGCAGTCAAGAAAGAAGTTGCAAACTTATTTTATTACTTTATTCATTAACCATTCAGCAACTGCTTCACTTTAAAAATGGCATCCTACAAAAGCACAGACATCCATCTCCTGTCTAGAAGCCATCTGGGAGAAGAATGAAAAGCTATTAAGAAATACCTTATGAAAAAGGTCTTTTTTTTTTTTTTTTTTTTTTTTTTTTCCCAGACCAATCATGTTTTTTTCCCCGAATATATAGGTCTGATCAACTTAGAGTAAATATAAAAAGATATTTGTGGGGGGTGGAGAAGGTCATGAGGTGCTTCAAAGACCTTGCAGTTTTAGAATAGTATTACTACATGAAGCACTTGAAGATGGTGAATTTGGGCCTTGACACACAGGAAAGGTAGAAAGAATATAGCACAGTACCATGAAGGAAAAAATGTTAAAAAACAAAATAAAACACTATTTGGTAGCATTTCTTAAATAAAACTCAGTTTTTATTTCCTGATGTGAGATGTGTAAAATCTTTACTCTTTAATTCATTGAGGTCTAAATCAAATGTAAGATGAAAATATTCTTGCCAAAAATCCTCCATTTTGGGTGGTTTTAAGAAGTGTATAATGTGGAAACAATTGCTGTAAGTCCTTTTGTTACAAAACTCAATATCTGTTTGTTTATTCTGCAACATGAATTATATAGTCTCAGGTATGTGGCATGAAGAAACCACCTAGTATAATGTAAAATAGATGTCAGGGAAAAAAAAAAAAAAAAGAAAAAAAAAAAGGAAGAAGAAATGAAAAGCCCTCTAAAGACATCTGGACATTTAGGAATGTCAGGTATTGCATTAAAGAAATATAAAATCATGTTTTATCATTACATTTATAGTAGAATCAAGTAAAATGAGGTTACATTCCAGGATACTTGGCTTTTATGAATAGTATTAGACTATAGTATTCAGATAATAGTATTATTCAAACACTCAGAAACCCTTGCATTTCAGCTCTGAAGCATATCTTCATGGATGAGACTCCATTCATTAATCAAACACATGTTTTGTGGAAGCCTGGATCTAATGCAAAGACATGGAACCATTCCAATCTCTGTGAGAAAGATGGGATTAGAATAGTAAATATGATCTATGGGTTTATTATTTTCTCTCACAAAGCTTATAAAGAGAATGAACTTTTACCTGGTAGAATACTGAACTTCTATCTAGATTTACTTTTGGCCAGTAAACAGATTACCTTGTAACTGTGGGTAATTATGCTGCTCACTTCTAAGCAATGCAGAAAATCAATTTTAATTAAGAAATCATTTATGCTGGACTCAGTCATGCTCATTTAGGAAAAAAAATATTGACCTAGGAAAGTTCAGTTCAGATGCAGAATTCACTTTCACAATAGCACTCAGCTCTTTCAACCCAATTTTCCAATTGGGTTGACAGAATCACAAAGAGGTCAAATGATTTGGACAAGGTCAGACACATGCTGAGCTTATGCCCAAATTTGACTCCCCATCTTTCATTATAGCTATTTAACAGATGACTTCTATCAATTTTAGTCTTTAATATCATCCTTTTCAGAGCAGGTTGTTAATTTTTTTTCTGTCACTACTGGTCATGTGATAAGCACCATCAGACTTTGACAACCAGATGAGGGAAGGATTTGATTCAGTCTTTATTCAAGAGAGTATGCTTATTTATATAACCAAGACCTTATTTATTTGTGTTTTACCTTAAAGTATACAGGAGTCTTATGACACCCAGACTGAAATGAATGCTTATAACTGGGATGGCATCTAAAGATGTCTTAATTTTGGTCCCTGTGAGTATTCATAATTTCTGGGGAAATTATTTTATTGAACTTTAATACTCTAAAGATTGCTTATACCTATCTCAAGTGAATGTGAAACAAATATTCATTTCATCTCTTGATCAAAAACCACAGTGTTATCACTGATTCTGAAGCATGGGCCACTTTGTAAGATTTAATGTTATTTTATCCAGAACCATTATAAGAATTTAAAGTGTTAAACTGCCATACAGACATAATCAGGGTTACCATTTTACCTGGAGAAAAGTGACTTAATCCCATGCTGCCAACAAGGAAGAACCCTATTTAGGTAATTAAGGTGAATTTTCTAATATTCAGTGTATGGGACATGTCCTTCTCAGATTTGCTTCTTGCACAGGTTTATGTAGAACATAAAGTTATTAACACATCTTCAGAAAAGGAGAACCCTGTTGTCATCTTCTAAAAATATTACGTGTCTTGCAACGCTTTTTGCTATACAAGAAGTATAAATAGTAAACCATAGCCTCACTGCCGCAGAATAGTTTGACACTTGCATAGCATGATAAAAAACATTATGTTTTGGTTTTGTTTTTCACCCTGATGCAGAACTCTGTAAAACTACAATCTATCATTTTTCATTAATGTTTTTTTTCTTGTTAAATATTGATATAGAAAAACATATGCAATAAAAGAACATGTGGCAAGGCTAATTACTTGGAAGTACACATAAAGATACATATGCTCAATGCATGGAAAAATTAAGGAAATGAATGTATTTTCATATGATTTCTAGCTGGATGCATGCAACACAATTCTTGGAAAATGTAACCTTTTCTGTCCCAGTTTCATTCTTTCAATCACTACCTCTACACAGACAGCACTGCAAGAGTCCTTTTCTAGCCCCTCTTCTCAAAAAGTACTGATAAGAAATAAGTACTGATCCTGCTGGGTAAAGAAAACCTTTTAAATGTTTCTCCAATGTGTTTGCAAGAAACTTACATTTCTGTGGATGCTGATTAAGAGAACAGGAAACACTGTATATTGAAATGGGTTTCAGAAAAACCCAAAAGTAGAGTGAAATACAAGGAAACCAAAGGGTAGATTAGAGAACATCTGCAGGGAATGTTGAATGGATGAGACATTCTTAGAAACCCATGTACAGAATTAATGTACAGAAAGATTAGGATATATGTGAGCCTACAGGTATGTGCATATGTATGTACATGTGCTGGAGTGACAAATGGAGAGCTACCTATGCTGAGGAGAGAAAAACTGGACAGCTGACAAGACCTGATATTAACATAGGAAGACAGGGATACCTGTTCTTCCAGGTATCCTTTTATTCTCTTTCAGATACTTCTCAATTGAGAATACACATCTGATGAAGTAACTGGTCAGGATAGGGGTGAATTTGCACAAATATTAGTGGAGAAGAAAACATTTTTTTTTTCCTGAGTATCTGCAGTTGCTTAGCTAAAGTTTCTCAGAACTTGACCTAAATTCATGTTGTAACTCTCTTTGTAGCTCTATTTTTTTTAGTACTTACCTCACTGCTTTATTATTATTATTATTTTATTTTTATTTATTTTTTAAGTACTAGCCCAGAGTTTGGGAAATTTAATTTTCTGCTCTTGCACAGACCTTGTGACTTTTGGCAAGTCATTTAAACGCTCTGGGAGTTGGTTTTACAGTCCTAAAAAGGGTTGCTCTCAAGCAATAGTTGCTGTCAATGTCTAGTTTAGGATGTATCAGCAGGATATCTTAAATCATGCATGTGTTACAAGTATAGTAATCATGTATGTGTCTAGAAGAGATGTACAGTTAGCCGTCTGGACAAATAAAGAAACCACCAAACTCAATGTTTCATATTTAAGAGAAAAATCATTAAACAGATCAATGTGTGGACCACTACTTTTTTTTTTTTTTTTTTTTTCCAGTTAAAATGTTCACATGATTGTCAGAGTTTAAACACTTACTGTCATAGTCCTGTAGATTTTCAATTGCTGATAACAATCTTGTCCTGTCTTCTGGGTTTGAAATATTCAATTCAATCAGGTGGCTCTCCTGTAGATCCTTTAAGTCCTCTAGAGTTTCATAGCCATTTAGCAAGAGTGTTGAGGCATATTCCTACGAAGAGAAATTTGCAAATCTCTCATGTAAACAATCAGTATTTTTTAGTAGATGAATAGGAACAATTTCTCCTTTACTTTTTCATCAGGTTGAATGGGCTCCACTTTTCAGTCTGATGAACCTGCCTTTTGTACAAAACTAGACTGAGAATGAGAGAGGTGGAGATATCTTGGGGTCATCTCAGCCATCCCAGCACCTGTGGCTGAGTTGCCTGCCAGACCTTGGCAGCAGATTGGGTCAGGATAGAGATCTGTCAAAAATGGTTTAATCTACTGACCTTCTGCACTTTCACGGGTAACCCAATAGAGTGCCTTCCATACTGGGTCCAGGAAAGCCTCTGGTGTAGGGTGCAGAAAGAGCCCTCAGATAAAAATGTGAGTGTAAGAAGCTGAGGGAGCCCTCAGCCATGCTGTGTCACACATGGTCTCCCTTCAGCTGTATGTCAACACAATATGAAACTCTGTATTCCAGGATTAGGAGTGCTTGCATCAGCACAAAAAGCAGTAACAGCTAATGAAAATATTACATGTAATTCATGACCTAACTATGATTTTAAACTCAGTCAGGAGTTAGTGATTCAGAGAGGGAGAGAGGCACAACATGAGCATAGGGCAAAAAGAATACTGCTCCCAAAGATCATACAAAATTAGAAACCTAAATTCTGAATGGTCACTTGGGTCACACTGCAGTCCTGAGATTTCCACATACTCATGCACCTCCTGCCCCAAGGCACACAATTACAGGCAAGTTACTTGACAAGTCATCACTGTGCCTCTCTGCACGGAGCCTTTTGGCCTAACCAAATCTTGTGGTAAAATGCAGTTATATAAACCACTGACATCAGATAAGAAACAGACATGAAACTTACTTGCGTTGTTGACTTCAAAACTGCTGAAACCTGCCATTCTACAACTGCCTGTAAATTACATTGAAACCCATGTGTAAAGAAATTAAAGATTTCAAACACAACAGGGAAATGTTTGCTGACCTGCAGATGGACACACTCCAAGAGTTCTTGCAACGTTTTAGGCTTGGTCCTTTTGCTTCCTCTGTGAGCCTTTATCTTTTTGGGTGCAGCTTCTTCTTCCAAAATAATATCCACATAAATGAACTTGAAGTTTCCTACTTTGTTGTTCAGCATGCCTGTCCATATGCCCATGGGGGTTTTACAGATGATATCTATAATATCTCCTTTCTAGAAAATAGAAAAAGCACAATACTGCTTACACATCTGGTTTGTGATATGTGAATTTTCCTTTATGCACCAAAACCAGCACAGAATCTTAACCAGACAGTGTGAAGTAACTTTTTAATATGACCTAAATTTAGCTTCTTTGCTTTTATAAAATCCCAGAAAAATGCAGTCACAGAAAATGGAGCTAGACCTTATCTCCAAAGCTCCATGAAGGAGAGGTGAGCATAAGCAGCACCTTTCAACTTCTAGTGCTTCACTTGGACCCTGAAAGCGTGTAAGTTTCACCCTGCTAGCAACTTTTGCAATGGATACTGGGCATAGCTTCGGCAAAAAGCAAGAGATCACAGTGAGGTTATTTTCCAAATACATGCTTTACACAGCTTTTCACCTGGCTCCTTCACTTTAAACCACTAACACAATAATCTTATTATCCATCATCCCAGGGGTCTTCAAAAACTATTAGCTGAGCTACATGAAAGGTGAACTCTTACCCATTTTACAGTAAGAAATACTGGCTACATTTCTCAAAGGCAATAAAGAACATTTAAGTCCCTTAATATCTTCCTGTCAGTCCTTCCCAAAGGACTGTCAAATTCTCCCATTATTATTAACCCAATTGACTGGGAAAATAGTAGAAACACCTTAGCAGACAGAACTAAAAGCTTCAGTTCTCCACGCTTGTGCATACACTCACAAAAGCAAGTGCAAAAAAAGAGTGACAACACAGCAACTTCAGGAAGGCTTGTTGATAAAGGTGCTCTCACCAAGCTGTGGGAACTGACATCACAGTTCAGCACAACAGTCATTCTGAGTAATTCTGGTAGTAAAAAAGTCATACCTTCTATGCAACTTGCTCCCATGACAGTAAAATTGAGTCCTCTCTTCTGGTCAGATACTATAGAACTTACAAAACCACTGGAAGTCTTTAAAGAGTTCTACAACAAATCCCTACATACACACTTAATTTGTCATTCTGTTACAAAACAGAAAAATCAAACTCAGTTTGTTAAAATATCTTTTAACAACTCCTAGAGTTTTAAATGTTTTCTGGTCTGGTCAAGAAAATGCAAGTAAAGCTGCCACCCTAGTTTGGTTAAAACCCAAGTATGAAATTCACAGTGTTTAAATGGCCTGATTTCATTAGAATATGAAGCTTAGAGCTATGAGCATGTTTGAAATGGGAACTAAACAAACATTTGTTTAAAGCTCTATAACAATATATATTATTCTACACACTTATGGAGGGCTCAGGAACTTTAGATATGGATGCACATCAGGATTAGGTAGCTCTAAGGCAAACTACAGTTTTAATTCAGATTCAGGGCACTGAAATTTATTGTGATATTCTTAGAGGTTTTCAAACTTAAGTATTAGTTTTTAACTGTAAAATACACCACCTTAGTGACTTTAAAAGTAACCTAGGTGAGCCAGCAGAAATTTGCTATTTCATTACCTGATAAACTGTTTTGAAAGAAATATCTTAGGTGTGTGTAGAAGTAGAGGGTAAATGTTGGAAACTGCAAATATTTGCAGAGCAATTGCTGTAATACAGGCCTGAGAGAAAAGGAAGGAGACTGCAGTGAGATACATATGAGGATTTTGACAAGAAGATGCTGTGAAAAAGATAAAAAGATGAGGCAAGGATACAATCTGGATAGGAAGGTGTTTACAGAGAGGGAAAAGAAAGATTTTCCTTTAGAGAAGAGATAACAGATGCAAATAGTCTGAAGAATGATGATATTAAATGCATCTGTGCATGGACGGAGAAGAAAAGGGCTGGACCTTTTTAGTAGTGTTGAACTGGTCCTATGTCTGGAGCTTCTTTTTCTCACTCCCACAGTATGGATACCCCTGCTATGATGCCAGAGCCAGAGAAAATTCATAGTTCAAAAGCGTGAGTAAATAAAGGCTAAATGAAAAAGTGAGCTGTTTACATGTAAAGACAATGTGTGCCACCAAGATCTTGATACAATCTAACTGGAGAGGGAACTTCATGCCCCATGAGACTCTAGATTTTCTTACTTTAGATCTTCTAGGGAAGCAACATGTGTTTTACTCTGAGGAAATATTGTACTGATGAGGTACCTCCCTGGAGGCCTATGCCTTAAAAAGCCTTTAGCAGCAGCTGACTTAGCATCAATTGTCTAAACTAAGTCATTACAGAAGCACTGCAAAAACAGATCTGTATTGCTTTTAGAGTGATGCATGTGATTAACAGTTAAAAATGTTTTAGCAAGCATATTCTTTCACATGTAAAACATGCCTACCGTGGTCTTACTGGAAAAGAAGAAATCCTGACAGCTGTCTTACCTTAATTTTCAGAGAGTCAGTGTCATAAGGACTTGGTGTGAAGTCGGTGTGCACTTTGGCTCGACCACAGAACGGCCCACTGTAAGGGACTTCGTCATCAAACCTAAGGCTATCCCTGTTGCTTGTTCCATCAGAGCAGCTGGTCACCCCACCTTAAAGAGAATCAAGTGGAAGCTGAGATCTCCTGAACTTAGTGTCCAGACATACAGTTCTGCACAGCAGCAGAGAGGACGGCTTTCAAAAGCACAGAATTAAGAAAGAGCATACTCCACAAGGTTTTGACACATTCCAGGAAAAATACATTAAATAAAAAGCATACTACTACAGACTGAAGAATATAGGTTGGAGATCTTTCATTAACATCTTCCCTAAAATAATCTTTTTCTGGTGATGATACTAATAGACTACACATTTTACTTACAGACTTTTTTGAAATATTACCTCTGCAGATTAATAACATGTACTCTGAAAGTGCAATTTAGAGAATTAATTTTGCTGAACTTCTCCTGTTTATTCAGAGAAATGAAAACAAGTACTGTAGAAGTTATTTTATTTCATTACAGAGCTAGCTAAAACATCAAAAGAACCTGCATTGCAGAGCAAAATTTTAATCTTATCAACATTTCTGCCTGTCATTTTATCCCAGTTGAGCAATAAAATATCAGCAGAGTAATTCAAGCAAATTTGAGCAAGCTCTGCAATATCCCATCCAAATATGTTTTTAGATAAGAGCAGCAGTGTGTTGGAAGTAAACTCCCATATATAATTTTCACAAATCACATCACAGAAAATGATCATAAAAATGGTTTTGTTTGAGGTGATTGCTTAAGTGCACAGCTCCATCTCAGGGCCAGATACACAACTAATTGGAAACGGCCAGGACTGCAATTCAAGCCCCCACTTATAGCTCACGTAATGTCTGCAGTGACAGCACAGCAATATCAGCATGGACAGCTGTGACCTGCTGCCCAGGGACTGTCCATAGCAGAGCAATTGAAGATATGTGGAGGCAAACTCGACCTCTCTTCAGAGATTCATTCATCCTCCAATTGAGAATACTCAGTTGGGTGTGGGGGTTCAGTGGGATTTCAGAGAAGTAGACTGCGTCTCTGCATCATGATCTGAAGCTGCCCAGTCAGGCTCCCATCACCCGTCATCTCAGACAGACATCTCACATTGTCTGTCTCACATCCAGAGAGTGAAAAATGAACTCACAGCCACTATCTGCAGAGAGGATGCTTGTGTGGTTGCACCCAGGAACTGCAACTCAGCAGTGCTACCCCCCCAGAAACATTCATGGTATGTATCAGCATAATTCACTGTAATCCATGTTGTTGTTGTTGTTAGTGTTATTATATTTTTACTTCTTTTAATATCAACACTGTTAAAAACAGTCAGGTTATTTCAGGCATATCTACTTTAGCTGCCCATTTGATCAGATTATATTTTTGTCTGCCAGACTGAAGAGCTGTCTACTACCACATTTTTGATCACCAGGTCTGACACCTCAGACTTAAGCAATAACACTATTGGACCAGGTACTGAATTAGAAGTATGGATATCTTGTACTTACTGGATGAGCTCTGACCACTGTTTAGACTGTAGAGACTTTCCATAGAGTCACTGGCTTTTATGGAGCCCTTCTCAGTGTGTATTCCACCACCAGGATCACTGTCATCTTTTTCTTCTTCATTCTTTAAAGAAAAATCAGATGTTAACCTAAGATTTATTTTAGTCAAACTTTTTTTTTTTTTTTTCCACTTTCAATCATCATTGCACTTGGAGATTTATTCATAACTACATTTTATTAAGTACTACTCTAAGAGAGAAAGCATTTTAGGAGTTGATGCCTAGTACTAAGGATACCCAATCCCAACACTATGATCTTGGAGAAATCACTTATCTCCTCTCTGCCCCACTCATGTAATTTCACTTCTTCTCAAGTGATTCTTCATCTCAGAAGACTGCAATATATTACAGCGAACAAAGGCTTATAATGAAAAAAATGTAGGTAGCCAAATAAGATGTTTTTTTCTGATTGTGAGGAAGAAATATAAACTTTAATTATGAAAGCTCATGGTGAAGGCCTTGCTGACACATCTATGTTTTGTACTGAGCCTCTGAAAATCATGGGCACTTGATTTTGCTGGCACACAAGCAAGGGCATTCCAGAGATGGCTTGCACATATGTACAGCATCAATACATGTATGTTTTAGCACCATACTCACTACCTTGGTTAACCTACACATTGGCCTCAGAATCCCATGCATTGCAGAAGTAACAGATACATTTTTCTCTCACAAAATCTAACGGCGTATGAAATCTGTTCCTGGAATTTATGAAATTAAATCACACCTCAGAAATCACAGTTTATACACTTAACAAATTCAAAACAAGAAGGCCTGTATTTCAGGCACAGATAACTTAGGGATGATGTAACAACTAAGTGAAATAATGCTGAGCTTTCAAAAGAAGGAATTTCTTCAGCAGATTGCATCACATTCTCAATGTGCGTCACATTATCAATGTGCATCACATTCTAAATTCTCTTGCACTTAGGATGTTACGTCACGTTTACGGAAATGTTAATCATCCATCAGGTGACTGATGGATGTCAAGAAAATATGACTGCATGTACGGAGACCCATACAGGTACATACAAGGCATAACACTGAAATGAAAGACTATATTGGTTTTCAGCAAGGACAGTGCTTGTTACACCAATCATCGGTATAAGCCATAGATTAATCAGTGGACCAATATCACTGGTCATCATCTACTGCAGGTATGAAGATCACACTATATGTGAGTCCATCCAGGTAATTCATTGAATTTCTTTCATGTGAATGGTTTCTGTTAATGTGCAGAAGATAAATGTTGAAATTATGAGTTTTCTTTCTCATAGTATAAAATTCATGGATTGCAACTTGCTGAATTTTAGCAAAAAATACAAATTAAGGTAACAAATTAGGATTTCTTGTCTTTGACCTCCAAAACTGCTAAACTTTATGCTTATTAGCATGTTGGGAAGTTTCATGCTTATTTTTCCTAGTTATTTGATGTTGATACATGTATGAGATAGGATGCACACCAGCTAGATTTTTTAGAGATCCTTTTCCTTATGTGTTTTAAAATTTGGAACTCAGTGACAAAAGATACTGATGAAACAGGGTTTACAGTGTGTAAAACAGATCATATGTTTTTTATATTTAATAAAGATAGCTTCACATAGTAGATAAAAGCAGATAGAACATATGAGTTGTCATGCTGTAGGATGCTGGCTGACCTCTACAAAATGGACTTTGGAAAAATATCTTGTATTCAAAGATAAATTCTCCAATGAAGCGTTTTGTACAGGCTGAGTATCAGACTGATGACTGGGTTCATCCAATACTCCCCTGTGTCCACATCAGGAGATGTTTTATGATACTTATACAAATTCTCCTTGATGACAAAGCAAAATTCGATGATGTAAAACTCCTAGGTCTAACTTGAGCCCTTACTGTGTGCTGCTGTACTTGTTTACATGCATGTGTGTGTACATTAGCATGCACATGAAAGAAAGCATACATATTAGAAGTTGTTTTAATTCAGTACTTTTAACCATGTTTTCATAGAATCTAATAACTGATAGCTGCTTGAAACAAGAACAGGAAAAAATGCACATAACATTGTTACTTCATATGCATTATCACCAAATACAAGATTCTTAAGCCATGTTTACCATCTCCTCAGAGAGTGCCTTGATGTACTTTTTGCCCATCTTTTTCTTCATGGTAAGGGAAATGGCTCTCATCTTCTTACCCAGGCTTCTTCCATTACTTGCTGCTTTGGTTTGTGCTGCATCTCCAACATCACTTACAGTCTCCAGTTCAGATACCTGATTTGAAATAAAACTGTAAGAAACAACTCACCAAGAAAATACAATTTGGTGCAGAGGAATGAGAATTACAGAATAATATTAAGGACACCAATGCAGTTAGGATGACAAAAGTTAGTCACAGCCATTTTCCTGGGGAATAGTATACCTAAAGAGGTTCGCAGCACACCCCTGCACTGCAAATGACAGAAAACAAAAAATATCTATCTTTCTGGAATTGTTGTTTCCCTTTGTTTATTGGCCTTAATACGAACAAGAATTGAGGGCATTTATACAGGTTGTTTGAAAACAAAAATGACACATCTGTAGTCTGCATGCATGTGTTGGTTACTTCGGGAACACACCAAAACGAAGTGCACTTTTGCCTTTTTTGAAAACTTGCTTCTAATCTTCACACCAAAGTAAGAAAATTTAAACATGATTCTGTTGTTCATTTTGGCAAGAACTCAATCATCCAGACGGTCCAGGTACATAAGACAAGTTCTTACCAGTGTAGAATTTATACAACAGTTACTCAATGTTTTTTGCATAACTGTTATGGGAAAGAGATCTGAAGAAAGCAAAAATTTGATACAAACCTCAGCAGAATCATCTGTCTTTGATACTGAGTGATGTCTGAAACGGTCAAAGCTTCCAAAACTACTTGTGCGCTGTAAAGAAAAAGACAAACCTGGAATCACTGGTTGTTTTTGTTTGTTTGTTTGTTTGTTTATTTTTCTGTTTTGAAGGCTTAAATACGGCTGTCAAGTCACCCATTTATATTAAAAAATCCTTTCAAGTCATTGGACCGTGAACTGCGGAAACAAAAAAATCCAGTGGAAACAAACAAGGAGGTGACTATATGGGAAACAAGTATTACTGTACTGCTGGAAACAGAAAAATCAATAAGAAAAACAATACTGCTTCAAATACAAATTAGATAATGGCTATGATTCAAGTTCTTTACATCAGTTTCACATAAAAATACACAGATATCTGTGAGTTACTTCTGGGTTAAATTGATGTCTATGAGTTTAGAAATAAAAAGCTATATACAAAAGTATTGTGTGAGCCATAGAGTTGGTTATGATCGTGGAAACTTTTCAATTTTTATAGTTTACTTTCATGGCTGTGGAAACTGTCCAGGCTTCTTTACCAACAGGAATAGTCAAGGGCCACTGTGTAGTGTGAATGCATTTTGTCCCAATTGTGTATGTTGTGGAGGAGTAACAGAATAATCAGGCAGGCCTCACAGTTTTGTTGAAGACAAGTCAGAGATGCCTTTAAATCTGTTCCTAATATCAGACAGAATTTGGATATTTATCAACTATACAGAGTCCTTAAGGGCTTGTTTTTACATCTTCACCAGTACTCAATGCTAAGTCTGGAATTAATCCTTTTTTAAAAACTCTTTACCCTTACAGAATCACAGAATCACAGAATCTCTAGGTTGGAAGAGACCTCAAGATCATCGAGTCCAACCTCTGACCTAACACTAACAGTCCCCACTAAACCATATCCCTAAGTTCTACATCTAAACGTCTTTTGAAGACTTCCAGGGATGGTGACTCAACCACCTCCCTGGGCAGCCTGTTCCAATGTCTAACAACCCTTTCAGTAAAGAAATTCTTCCTAACATCTAACCTAAAACTCCCCTGGCGCAACTTTAGCCCATTCCCCCTCGTCCTGTCACCAGGCACATGGGAGAACAGGCCAACCCCCGTCTCGCTAGAGCCTCCTTTAATATACTTATACAGAGTGATAAGGTCACCCCTGAGCCTCCTTTTCTCCAGGCTGAACAAGCCCAGCTCCTTCAGCCGCTCCTCATAGGACTTGCTCTCCAGGCCCCTCACCAGCTTCGTCGCCCTTCTCTGGACCCGCTCAAGCACCTCGATGTCCTTCTTGTAGCGAGGGGCCCAGAACTGAACACAGTACTCGAGGTGCGGCCTCACCAGAGCCGAGTACAGGGGGACGATCACCTCCCTAGCCCTGCTGGTCACAGTGTTTTTGATACAAGCCAGGATGCCGTTGGCCTTCTTGGCCACCTGAGCACACTGCTGGCTCATATTCAGCCGACTGTCCACCATCACTCCCAGGTCCTTCTCTGCCTGGCAGCTCTCCAGCCATTCCTCTCCCAGCCTGTAGCTCTTCTTGGGGTTATTGCGCCCCAGGTGCAGGACCCGGCACTTGGCCTTGTTAAACTTCATACAGTTGACCTCAGCCCATCGGTGCAGCCTATCCAGATCCTCCTGCAGAGCCTTCCTACCCTCAAGCAGATCGACACACGCACCTAGCTTGGTGTCATCTGCAAACTTACTGAGGGTGCACTCAATGCCCTCATCCAGATCATTGATGAAGATAAAACATACAAAACAAATGTATTTTAATGCAGTGTCAGGTTTCTCGAGTGGGGCTTACTATTTTATACAATGCAATATCATCTCAGTTTGTTTCTACGTGTTCAAAATCCCTCCTGGAGGAAAAGAAAAAACAGCATTGAACTAAATAGCAAACCACAAACTCTTTGCACATCTTGAATGATTTAACAAGTGATTTCAGACTACCTGGTTACACACTTTTCTGGATTTATTCATCCATTACTTTGCCTACATGATTTCAACCAAACTGATTCCTTGCTCCATTGCTTATATTCCCCCCAGCCACATGAGCCTTCTTTTCTTCTTCCCCTGGTTTCTAACACGCCTGTCATGTCCCCTTCCCCTGGCATCTTCAGCTACCTCTTTTCACTGTTATCCAGGAAATCTGCAAGCCTGAAAAGGACCTGCTAGCTCCTTGCATTGCGCTATCATTTCAACTTTCACATCTTCTCTACCAGGTAAGGTAGCTTGAGAGGATACTGAGGTGGATTATCCATTCGGCAAGAAAAGAGGAGGACAAAAGGGCTTGTTTAATAGCTGATCCAATTGCCCACTTTTGTGTTGCAGACATGGTAAATGCTGTTATAAACCTGCTTCCAGTGAAACTAAGGGGAAATCTCTCCACAAATGTAAAAGGAGCAGAAGAACACAAATACTGAGTGCTGTAGGAAATGCTGCGCTTACAGTGCTTGTCCTCCAGGTCCCTATCCAGATGACTGGGTTAGTAATGCTGTTGAAGTGATGTGGTCTGAATTGCTGGAAGAGCAGAGACCTTTTAGAGCTGATGCCTAAGTAAAAATTTCAGCTTCTGGGGTCTTGCTGAGTACTGATACAGTACTGTGCCTGCTCTGCCCCTCTGCCCACAGTCACCAAGTCACCATGTTGTTCACTGCCCTGTCTCTGTACACTCTCCTTTCCTGGCAGTAGTTAGTCCTCTGAGAGACTCAGCAGTAATGCTGCCATACTCCTGATGCAGTACAGGGTGACAAGTTGACATTCAGTCTTCACAGCTGTAGTCTGGTCTTAAGGAAGGAGTTCATCAAAATGATACCAGCTATGAAGATCACACACACACCTCCCCTGAGTATTTCCATCCGGGAGGAACCCCATCTTATTCTGTCCCTGCTCATAAATCATAAGGTTACTACACGTATTAGCTTCTTTATCACTTACACACAGTCACTTTTAGACTAAAAATAGTTTGCAGAGGGGAAAAAATAAGACAAAGAAAAGCAACGAGAAGCCACGTGAAAATACTTTGTCTTAAGTCTCTATTTCTGAAGAAGAAAATTTGCCTCTCCTGGACCAGAACTGAGAACAAAAACTCCCCACTGTTTCATTTCCCTGTTTTTCCACCTACACTTATTTATTAACAACCACCCACATCCCCAGATAAATAAATAAATAATGTGGACATGGCAGTGGGAGAGGCCTGAGCACAATCAGATAGGAGAAGAAAGTGTGCCCACATTTTGGGTCCATGTTCTAACCATTGCAGCTTAAGAGAAAAAGAAATAACACTTTTTTTTTTTTTTCACTAACATTTCTAGGCCTATCTCACCTGAAAAATATTTTCAGCCAAAGGTTATTTGAAGAAGCTGACCCAGATTTGTGAATATTTTTGGACAAGTAAAATGACATTTACTATTCACTGAGGTGAAAAAAAAAAAAAAAAAAAAAAGAAAACTGCACATCTCTGCTCTTAATTGATTGTAATCTCACAGAAAATCTCTGTTGGGTAAACATTGTGGTTTATTTGTTTATTTTTACCCTGTGAAGTTGAAAAAGGACCATTTAGACTGTACCCTTTAATTTTATCTAAAATTCTCGTATAGAACTTTGCTATTAACTAGATGAAAAATATCCTGTGACAAGGGGTTAGCTCAATAGTATGATATAAAAACACAGCCCTAAGGATTATGGTTCTATTAGACAGGATTAACACCTTTCACTGGCTTGTCAACCCAGCCAAATGTGCCCTGAAGCATGGAGCAGGAGGCTGGGATTCACAGCAACGTTGGGAAGGTATAAAATAGTCTCACACAGTGATCTCTAAACATACACTGACCTTTCTGTTGCATTCAATCACTTGAAGATGTCTAGTAGGAATAACTGTATATTAAAGTGCAGATGTGCTGCAAATACTTTAAAAGGAACAAGAGGAAAAACATTGTTTATTGTTGGTCTTACCTATAAACAGCTTCAGCACAGGGAAATCAGTTATTCTTTTTTGACCCTTGAAACAACCTTATATCCTATGTGGCCAGAAGCCTTGGGCTATTTTGTAGTATACTTCAGTGTTGTTTCATCCCTATTAAATATTAATAAGGGTTACAGGATGATTTCCACTCTTCTAGATAATGGTCTTGTTGCACTGGAGAGTACTAAATAGGGCTGCTTCAGCACTTCTCTATACTAACTTTTTCCATTAAGTAATCAATAGCTACCACCTTTTAAAAATGTATCCAACCCCATTATACTGATAACAAAAGGCAGATTTAGGAGCAATGGGCTGCAGGGGAGCAGGACGATGACTTTCAGTAGTTTCAGTCACTGCATTAGTGTCAGGGAACACCTACCCTGTGAAGATACGGCCAGGCCTTTTTTCCAGCAGAGGGGAAGCTTTTAAAGTAAATGCAAAACTACTAGGAGAAAATACACTATTGACTTTTGATACCAGTGTTCAGCATCCTATAAGATTAAGTGATTTTGCTGGCTGGATTCATGGAAGAGCTACCAGTGGATATGTTAAGCAAATATTAATTTGCTCAGTAAAATCTAATGGAGGCATGGGCAGGGACCAAGGGAGAACACTTATTTCTCCACATAATGACCGATCAAATAATTTCTTCAAGTCAATGCACTAATTTTTATCCTTTCCCCTCTGGTATACCTAATTAGCATAATGGAAAATGTCAAAGATGTTTCAATATTTTAAATCCTTCTTCAATCTTTTTCCTTATCTTCAGTCCCCTGAAATTTGGGAACTTTATTTAATATTTTTGAAGTGGTAAATAACATCTAATGACTATTTATCTTAATTTGCACAGTGTGCAGTTTGTGATCTGGTTTGTCTGCAAATAGACTATCATTTTCCCCTGAAAAGGGTATGGTATACAAATAGAAAAACAACAGCAAAAAAAGGTGTTGCAAAACATGTCTTTCTGTTATAAAACACCCTTCCATTATAGCGCACATCATAAAAAAGTCAGGTAGGTCTTACGATAAACTAGTCAGAGCTTCTCCATGTCTAAGGACAAACTCTGAGCCAAAACTGACAGCGGTCATCCTGC